AGGGGGAATATTTTAACTGCGAGGAAGCAGAAATTCATCGATTTCCTTACTCTGGGTTTAAAGAGCATAGGAATAAATAAATTTCCTCTAAAATTGCAAAGTTGCCTCGACTATATCCGCCAATATTTCTGTTAATTAAATATAATGAAGATTTCATTAAAAAAATTGTTTTAATGTTCGATAAAAACAGCAATTTAAGCCGACATTAAAAAAGGGGACAGTTCTCAATATTCTACTGTATGCTTTTTTTCCCCCACTTTTTTGAATGTATGTACGTTACGCTATATCTTCGTCAATTGTAAATAAATTTTAATTTTTTTTAAATAAGCTATACTTCAAAACAAATCTCTTGCAAATTTGATGAAAAATTCACTCTTAAGGATGGAAAATAGGGGATGAAGTTTTTAAGGTAACTATTCCTTTTATTATACCTTGAGTTTTTGATATGCCTTAGTCCATATAAAAAGGTTTTGAATTTTTACCATTTATCGCCATCTATAAAAAAAATTGACATTTCCCATAGTCGCATCTTACGTCAACCATGGGATGAAGTGAGGGATTTTCTTACGCCGCCGCCACTACATGTATATTCTTAATTTTTTATCAAATTCTGACAAAAAACTTTTAAAGTTATGATGCTGCGGCACATAAAGACAGACGACGATCTTCCACTGCTAACATATTTTGTGGTTCGTATAGTTGAACCCTAAAAATGTAATTTTGTTACTAATATTTAATGCCTAGTGTACTAAATTCGATATAAAATTAAATATATATATATATATATTTTTTTTTTTTGTAATGCATACTTCAATTATATAAAAACGTCCATAGATGGCAACTGTTACCCATAGAATTTTTTTTAATAATGACATTACTCGTACGTCGTGGAATTTCGCTCAATCGTTAGTTCATTACATACACTCGTATTACGTAAAAACAAAATCATCCATCAACAGATGTTATTGCGTTTTTCCAGCAGTTGCAATGTTTCCTGTCGAGACCACGCTACGCTATGAACCAAAGTAGAAGATAAAAATCTCATCTTTCGCAACATCACTAATGTTCTATACAATTATTTGGTGAGCCATTATGCATAGTGCATTACTATTAATAACAGCTTCCGAGAATTTGTTGCAAGAATAAAAAAATATATGAGTTCCTGTCGGCGTACGTACATGAGATGTAATGTGCAAATATTATTGTGTATGGGTCGCGCCAAGTGATTCTAATGCAACGATCACCTGAGAGTAAAGTAAAACCTTGGTGACCTTGCGAAAGTTTAATAAAAATAATACTTTGATGTAAACTTTGAGTATTCAACCTATACTCAAAGAATGTAAAAAACATACCTACTTTACTTTTTTACAGTATCATCATAGATAATAAAATACTTAATATCGACAACCACTTAGCAAATATTACGCGATTTACAGGTTTTAGTTTAATCGAGTGCAGAATAGTGATCACTTAAAAACTAAATGATAACGCAATTATGTTGTGCATATATTTTGAAGCACTTGTTTTACCAAAGGTAATTTTCACAAGTAAAAGTAATCTAACAACTAAAGACGTCTATACGCACAGATTAGGGTATTCTACCCGGGTACCCGGATTCGGGTATACCCGGGTATATGAAATTTTTAGTACCCGGGTACTATTTCTATGTCAGACCCGAGTACCCGCGTACCCACTATGATCGAAGACTTCATCAAAATTCTCGGAAAATTATTACTAGGTAGCGGCTTAAAAAAATGCAATGCAAATTTACACTACAAACTATTAAAATACCTCTAAAGAAAGCGACGCCTTGAAGGCGTTGAGTTTTTTACAAAACTGCAGTGAATTTGAGGTTAGGGTTGGTTAAGTCGTCGTATTCTGCATTTATTTTGTGGGAGTCTAATTAAAAAGTTATATTTACATTATTTTCATAGTAATGTAGAAAATATTAGGTTTACAATTCTATTATTTTTGGTAAACGGTGTGTAATTGAAATAAATATTATTACAAAATAAAAAATTGTATCTATTGGATATAACCTATAAAATTTTACTAAACGATGGTTTACTTTTCATAGGCAAAATGGATAACCCTGTTTATGGATCATGGATATATAAAAAAGAATAAGGAATCAGTACAATGTTCCATATCATGCCCAAAAATATTCCACTATAAAGGCTATTCAACAAATGTTTTTGTAAAACATTTAGATAAAGTACATAAATAAAGATTGAGTACCCGGTTGACCGAGCTTTGCTCGGTATTTTTCGCTCGGTTTTTTTTTTATTTCGTGTGTTTTGGAAATTATATTTAGATACACATTACATACTGATGAAATACGAATAATATTTTTTGATCTTAGCGACATATTAGAAAAAACTGAACTGGTTATTTGAATAAAAAATCATTAGTGCAATTAGTTTAATTTAAATTTTCGTGTTTTTAAAAAAATACTAAAAAAAACCGGCCAAGAGCGTGTCGGGCCACGCTCAGAGTAGGGTTCCGTAGTTTCCCGTCCGTCACAATAAGTGTTCCCACTTATGAGTTTAAAGGTGGGTATCCATTATGTTCGCGCTCCAGCAGCGCGAACTGCTCCCGGTAGTGGGTACGTGCGCGAACATGGAGCGTGCAACATTGCACGCTCCGCGGCAGGCGCTCCGACTTTCCATCCAAGTTCAAAATGATTTTCCTAGAAAGTCCTTATAAAGTTCTACTTTTCAGATTTTTTCATATTTTCTAAATTTATGGTTCAAAAGTTAGAGGACACATTGTTTTTTACTTTTGGAGCGATTATTTCCGAAATTATTGACACTATCAAAAAATGATCTTAGTAAACCCCTATTCATTTTTAAATACCTTTCCAACAATATATCACACGTTAGGGTTGAAATTAAAAAAAAATCTCTTCCCATTTTACATATAAAACATTTTTTCCAATTTTTATTTTCAGCTTTCTAGTGCTAACGGTCACAGAGATTAAGCGAGGACGGACGGACGGACGGACAGACATGGCGAAACTATAAGGGTTCCTAGTTGACTACGGAACCCTAAAAAGGGCTCGAAAAAATAGATTTTCTCAAAAAAGAAATTAACTTGAAAAAAAGTTAAAAAAAAGTCGGTCGGTCGGTCTGGGCTCGAACCATGGTATTACGATTTTGTGACCGCCCAATATACCAATTAAGCTATTTGTAATCATTAATAATTGTCAAAATTTACCTTCTTATTCTAACGTTATTGTAGCAGTTTTTCATTGGCTAAAAACACGGACAAAAAAGACATTTTCTAAAAATAAATCCTAGCTAGATCGATTTATTGCCCCCGAAACTCCCTGCACACAAAATTTTATGAAAATCGTTGGAGCCGTTTCCGAGATTCCGATTATATATATATATATATATACAAGAATTGCTCGTTTAAAGGTATAGGATAAACAGAACTTTACGTGCGACAAAGAAGTGCCATCGACATCGTTTTCCTATTCTGAATGTGAACAAAGTTCAAGCCTAGTCCCAAAAAGATCGCGAATACCAATTTTTTTCGAACTTGTACTAAAAGTTCCGAAATTTTTGCACGCCTGTACAAGATGGTATTTCCACTCATAGTGAATTCATTCGAGGAGCTTATCATCATAAACAACTAACTCTATTAATACACGAAGGCAGAACAATGGAACCAGTTCTAGAGTATTATGAACAACAGGAATCAAGAGTGGTTACAAGTTGCAAACGACAATAAACTCTGATCGTAGATTCAGTCTAACTCTTATTATCTCTTAACTCTTGATGAATGGACAAGCTTAAAAAACCGTCGATACTTAAACATAAACTTGTATTCTGATGACAGAACAGTATTCAACCTAGGGCTGGTTTTTATATCCGGAAAATACGGCGCAGTTGAGGTGAGAGATATGGTTCTTAAACATCTCGACAAATTCTGTTTGAAACTTGAACGTCGTATTATGGTTTGTACTATGGATAACGCAGCGGTTATGCAAAATTTTGACAGAGAAACCCCCATAGAGATGATGCTCTGCATTAATCACGCTGTGCACTTGTTTGTGCTGTGATAGATGTCATATACAAAAGGAAAGCTATTACAGAAAAACACATTATTATTACAAGAAACTGTCTATTTTTCTGCAATAATTTTAAATACCCGGGTATATGAAGTAAAAATAGCCGATACCCGGGTATTAAAAAAGTCGGATACGCGAATACGCGTTGTACCTAATACAACAGGTACACTTTATATAAAACATCATATTTACATTAATTTTGAATATATTATGCGACTTTCACTTCAGTCAGATTAAAGTTTTCTATATAAGTATTTTTAAGAAAACTCTTTGAAACTTTGCAATAACTTTATACCTTACTTAATCAAAATAAATTATTTAAATATACATACATACGACTATTTCTTAAAAATGTTTAAATATTCTACAAATTGTTGATATTTAATGTACGTTCGATATTTAACAATCGTAATAAGATGTCTTTTTTTTTCTCTGTGTGAAAGATTTAGAGATGAGGATGCAAAGTAGAACCAGAGTAACCGGCGTAGACAAATGGATCAGTAAGCTAAATTTTTATATAAAGTTATTATGTACTATAAATGCTACACACTAACTTCTTTTATTGAATTATTACGTATTATTATTGTAACTTGACCATTTTATAAGAAAGAATCAGAGCTAGTTAATAACCTCTCTGAGATAATAATAATAATTACACTGCAAAAGCAATGTCTTTGGATATGAGAAATTGGTATCATATTTTCGACATATTCTTCTTTTCTTTCCTTGGCATCTAAAACAAGCACGGTGTCAATACCCGAAGTATTGAGAAATTTCCGCGATACGCCTATTACCAGCCAAGAGGGGTGATCAGTTGGCGGGCGCAAGGCGGCACGCCGTCCAGTCCACGGCACGGTGCGCGCGACACACGTCACGCATCTTCGACTTGGTGCGAAAATACGGACGTGTGACTCAGTGATCAGAGATGCGATCGGCGCTCATATGCGTTTTCTTCTCGCTACTTGTAAGTAAATTCAAACGCTTTTGAAAGCAACACATTTTTTATCGGAAGTAAATTATTTTTTCAATAATGGTACTTGTTGCCATTGCAATGTTCCATCACAAATCCAATGATCCATAAAAATAAATAATAGTTATTTCGCCTTTTCACATTCTAACTAGTTAGCAATAATATACCCAGTTTTATGTATAACAGAATTAAATAAAAACAACATTTGTTAGTTTAGTAAAGTAAAGTTACAGCCTATATACGTCCCACTGCTGGGCACAGGCCTCCTCTCATTTCTGAGAGGGTTTTAGGGCAAGGAATAGTCCGCCGCGCTGCCCCAATGCGTGTTGGCGGACTTCACATGTCTTCGAAATAATTTTTTTCTTATTTCTCAGACATGCAGGTTTCCTCACGATGTTTCCCTTCACCGACGAGCACGTGGTAAATCAGCACTTAAAATTGCAATTAACAATTTCATTGGTGCCGGCGGGGATCGAACTCGGTTTGCTCGCGTATTGTGAAATTTACAGCGAGCGCTAACCATCTGAGCTACCACGGCTCGGCAACTAACATTTGTTAGTTTATTACATTATAAATATAAATAATTGTTTGGTAGAAATTATTTACAAATACACTAAAATTTGTTTTTTTTCCTTATTGCAAAAGCAGTTTCCTACAGCTAAGTATAATAATATCAAAAATAGATTAAAATATTTTTAAATAAAGAAACCAAACAATCATTAATATTTTACTATTAATTAACAGTACCTAGAAATTATATTTAGATACAAATTACATACTGATAAAACATGAATAATATTTTTTGATTCTATTGACAAAATAGAAAAAGCTGAACTGGTTATTTGAATAAAAAATCATGAGTGCAATTAGTTTAATTATTATTTTCGTAACTTTAAAAAAATACTAAAAAAAGGGCTCGAAATAATAGATTTTCTCACAAAAGAAGGGAACTTGAAAAAAAAAGAAAAAAAAAGGCGTATATTATATATATATATATATATATATATATATATATATATATATATATATATATATATATATAAAAGAATTGCTCGTTTAAAGGTATAGGATTAACCTCTATTGGCAATGACATTTTTAGATACTTTTAACGAATAAAAAAGTATTTAAGACAAAAGTACCTAACCTATACTTATGAATTATTGCATCTTTAAGCCATAAGCCTGACAACTAAAAAACAACGACCTCGTTGCGCTCTATTGTTAGGGGTGTGATTTTCTCAAGCATGTGGGGCGATCAACTCAAATCAGTGTAATTGTGTGTACTCTAATGATCTACCAATGACATGACAATACCTCGGTCATCGAGACTTAGCACAAATTATAATACTGTAGAAGTTCACACTTTATGCTTTGTTAGTAGAGTAGTCGTATATTAATGGCATTGTTTTAATGGCTCCACTTGTCATAAAAAAGATAAACTGAAGAATAATAGCGACAGTTTGATTGATTCCTTGAAAATTTGAAGGAAAATGCTTTCTATTGCATTATAGCTTACATAAAAAAAAACATGTATGTGATGATTAAAACTTAATTTATATATTTATTTGTTTATTAACACTTTATTGTAAAATAAATAAAAAAGGGAGCACTTAGTGTCTATTGTCAATATCAATTTTTCACAACCATGCTAAAAAGACCTTTGAAAATATGTCTGAATATAATGAACTATACATCCATTACACTTATAATCAAATAGATTAGCATCGTATTTATTCTATAGGTGTCCTGTTTGAATTGTCACGTAACACTAGATTAGTTAAATAAGATTATTAGACATGAAGAAAATAACTTTATTAACTTGTATAAATAAATAATGAAGTAAAGTCGCTATTATCATATGAGGCCACAAAAAGCTTTTATCTAGTATTATCGCCTAATTTTGCTTTATAACCTTGAAAAGTATTGAACACAAGTGCAGTTCTATGCATATCATGGTTTGTGCGTATGTGGGTCTAGACCGTATCTTTATAAATAACAATAAATGAAACACGTAATAGCACCTTGTTTTGCATCTGCGATTTGTAATCAACCTCTCTAAAGAATTGACGTAATTAATATACTTAAAAGTTTAGATTATCGGTGAGGTTTTTAAGTAAACTTTTGTTTATTAGCGAAGTAGCAGAAGAAACATAAGTTAATGTATGAATATATAGATCATCGACATAATACATTAGTCACAAAAATTAAGGTAAATAAAAAAATCTTTGGGTGATTTTCAACAAACTGTAACTCCGAGGAAAATAACCGTACCTCAAAAAAAGCAAATTGTAGTTCCAAGTGCTAGTTTTTAGATTTGATCTTTGATCATTATTTTCAGAATTATTGATTATCAAAGTTAAAAATAACTTTTTTGCTTTGATTGACGATAACTCCGCGGCAAATCATCGTACAGGCTTTTTGATTACCTATGTCAAATTAAAGTCATTAAATTTCCTAAAAGAGCTTTCTAGCGAGATAATGAAAAAAAATTTTGAAGCCCGTAAACCTTTATTAAAACAAGCAAGAATTTCGAAAAATTTTTTCGGTAGTTTCCTTAGGATCGCTCCAGAACCAAACACGATAAAATTCATGGCCAAATCTGAAAACCTTGGAGCTACAATTTGCTTTTTTGCTGTACGATAATTTTTCTCGGAGTTACAGCTTGTTAAAAAATAACAATCACCCAAAAATTTCGATATTTTTTATATCCCTTAATTGTGTGTGATTACTATATAACATTATTTTTTAACTAGGGTTTGGATTAAATGTAGGAAATTAATCTTGTTTTAAAATCGTCACACACTGGTATACGATAAATGGTCAATATTATTTAAATAAGTAATTATTTTTAATATATTAGTAATTATTAGAATGAATTAGTTTGTTTTCTGTTCTATCATTGTGTATTTTTTATTCGAGCGCTCGGAAAAACGCTACCTTGTATTGTGTGTTACAATTACAACTTGTGAACTGGGCTATAAGTTTTTAAACATTTTAAATCGACGATTACACTATCTTGATGATCCATTGGATTCGAATTATAGCAAAAATCAAGCAAATATAGAACGTCATATTCAACGTCTTTATTAGTAAATATAATAAAGTTTTTTGTTATACGTGGCATTAAAACTATTTACATAATTTTTAAACAAAAGCATATCACTGAATGAGAACTTTAACCGTGAATTTGTTTTACAAAAATACTATAGCTATCATATAAAGTAGTATTAATAATATATACATGAAAGCACTACCTCGTTTACTCATTTTATTTTTAACTTCTTAATGGAAATACGTAACAAGCATAATATTTTAATAAGAAAATAAGTATGTGAAAATTTCAATCATAATCAAAAGATTATTATTTCTCCACGCAATAATAACTAATTACTCAATAATTTTCTTTCGTAAATACCAGAATTATGATAGACTTGTTCGAGTGGAAATTGCATTGCGGAGCACGCTACTGTGTCCGCGCGCCCAACTTTCCCGTCAACATGATTTTACTTTCATAGGCAGATTGAAATATTTACTATTTTTACATAATAATATAAAACATCTTTATCTTTATTATATATAATCGTTAGATCGTTTGTAAGTGATCGTGTAACTACTAAACTACTTTACTGGTAGGGATCATAGTAAAAAAAGTAAAGTTACAGCCTATATACGTCCCACTGCTGGGCAAAGGCCTCCCCTCATTTCTGAGAGGGTTTTAGGGCAAGGAAGTGTCCGCCACGCTGCCCCAGTGCGTGTTGGCGAACTTCACATGTCTTCGAAATATTTTTTTCCTTATTCCTCAGACATGCAGATTTCCTCACGATGTTTTCCTTCACCGCCGAGCGCTTGGTATATCAGCACTTAAAATTGCAATTAACAATTTTATTGATGCCGGCGGGGATCGAACCCGGGTTACTCGCGTTCTGTTATATTTACAGCGAGCGTTAACCATCTGAGCTACCACGGTCTCATATATCACGGTAGGGATCATATTCAAACAAATTGTTTGTTTTGTCGAGACGATGTTTCTAAGCAATGCTAAGATCCATTAGTCAAGCTATTAACACATTCTATAATAATGGACTAAAATGACACATATTCACAATATAGTATTCGTTTATTGCAAAAAGTTGCCAAATCTGAAACCGATAGGTGACGTTGTGGTAGAGTCATTAATGAATTGTAATAAATTTTATATTTAAAAACTCCGGAGTGAAACTAGAAACAGTCTGTCGGACCTTATACTAAAATCTTATAATAATCAATATACATGTTTTCTTACAATCATTTTTTTAGTTATTGAAATTTATAATATTTTTTGCAGATAAAAGGTCACGTTGCAGATGACTTCAGGCCTACACCTATCCCACTGGACGAGTGGCACTCCGACAGAAGACATGGACGCGCGGGTACCCTTCACGAGACTATAAAAACTGCTTCCCCTCTTACCGTGGTAGCAATACCTGCACATTACTGGGAAGACGCCTTGCGTCACAGCGTATATCTAACCCTTGTTAGAGACAAAATCGATCAGCTGATTGCAAAAGGTGACATAATATCACCTGATACCAAATTCAATCATAGAGGAGCAAATAATATTAATGATCAAGACCTGTGGGACAAAATTAAAGCTGCTCCGTTCGATAGGATACGAGAAGAGGAACCTACTTCATACGGTGATGTCACAATATTAGCGAGAGGAAGATTAATGGAAGAGTCAGGCGGCTTCCGTTTCGCTGAAGACGACAAATCCCACGAAAAGTGTGACAATGATAAGTGTATGGAGGGTGTCAAAGCATTCTGGTCAGTTAAACGGGTGAGGCAAAGGGATCAAGAAACATCCCTGGGGAAATATCACTACGAGTTAACATTTTCCGTTATGTCACAAATACCAAAAAAACAAAACAAGCCATACGAACACCCAATCAGAACCTTTACAGTTCAGGAAAGCACAAATGACAGAGTGCCACAAACTTACGAAAGATATCATAAATCTGAAATAGTTTCACCGCAAATATCTCGACCAGAAAGAGCAATTTGGGTTCACAAAAACATTGAACAAGCACCTCAGTATCGCAAAATACAACATCAAAGTGGACTAGATAGATTATTTTCTTCATTGTTTGACGATTACGATGACGACGAACCAAGTTATGATCTACCAAGAAGATATAAGCAAAACTCTTATAATCCTACGTACTCGCAATATTCCAAAATTGGCACCTTTGGGAGTTCTGAACAACATTCGCAGATAAAAACATTACCATATCCATACAAAGTTCAAAACGTTAAATATCAAGGACCTCCACTTACCACATCACCAATCGGACTGGTACATCATCACCACATGGAACATGACATTAGTGGAGGTATAAGCAATCCATATGTATCACAAACAAATTATAAAATCACAGGGTTTAACAACGGCCAGAGAACTACGCACCCGGCGTTTTTACCCACACCGCTCCCATCACTAGCGCAACCACCAAAGGAGTCAAACAATAAGAAAAACAATTTAATGAAATATGACTCATTACAGAATAAAACAAATTCATCAGAAATTTTAACAATTCACAAGCAAAACAGTAAAAATAAAACTCCAACAAAAGTAACTTATTCTCCGGAACACTTAAGACCACCAATTTATAACGCTCCACCGGGAGTAATCGTTACAATGGACAAAAAACCATTTAAACCAATGCCACCGTTGAAGATGCCGCCCTCGAAATCATTCAGGCCCAAAAAACCTTCAGATTTCCGGCCGAGTCCACAAGTACTTGATGTTCAGTTTTCTGAACCCGATCCAATATTTGATAATGTATTTAGGCCAATAACTGTCAATTATGCTCATAATAATTATTCTACAGAAAAAACGTTAATTTCTGAGGCTAATGAGGAAGACGAAAACAAAATTCGAAAACAGACTGTAACCAGTAATAAAAACCCAAAGAAACACGACGATATTAAAATGCAACGAACTACAACATATACACCTGATATTATAACATCTCACAATAATTCAGAACAAGACAATGATATGGAACGGGCTGATATTTTAGGAATATTTTCTAAAACAATACCGATGGAGTCACAAAAAGAAAAAAGTATCACTTTACAGACCACAACACCCATTCCATCATCTACAACTGTCACTGCATCAGCTACAACAAGTAAGACGACTGAAACTTCCTCAACAACGTCACCATCTACTACACTAAAATCAAAAAAACGTACTCGACCACTAACTAAGTTAAATAAATCTGAAAAAATCAAAAAGCACAAACGCCTAACAACCACTTCAACCTCAACCACAACAAATACACCACTAACCACGAAGGTTTTCGAAGAAGGAACGGAGAAAACTACTCAAGATCTAATAGCACAAGCGAGTTCCACCGCTATCGGCCCAATTAAATTAAAATGGCAACCTTCTTCAAAGACAACATCTACGACCCCAATCAGCTCTACAGGTAATACGACAACAGTAAGTCCAACATCGACAACTAAAATTACCACAACGACAACTAAGAACGTAGATGGGGAATCTGTTTCATCTACTGCACGTTCAAGAAATATAAATAGGTTCAGACAATCAGCGCTAATACTAAAAGGAACTTCAGTAAAACACGATAGGTGGAGTGCAACAAAGTCTACCCCTGAAAGGCTTCGATCGTCATTAACTTCATCTATATATACAAAAAGAAGAAAAGGTTCGAAATTCCATGGATATGATTCCTCTACCTCCAAAAGTGGGGACAAGGAGCGAAGGAATCAAGCACATTCAGATCATGGTACTAGTACGAAAAGTTATCCTATAACCAACGAGTACTTAACAAAAAAGACTGAAGTGACTTCTAATATAACTCCTGTTAATGAAGGCTCTGATGCAATTTTAACGCAAAATGGGAACGAATCTGATATTAACGAAGAAAAAAGTCAAGTATTCGAGGAATCTAGAGATCGAAACGAATACATTTTCGAAAAGTCGTCTGACACGCCTATTAATAAAAACTATGAAATAATTGATAATGAGGAAACATTAACAACAGACAAGATTGCTAGTACACCATCATATTTCATGCCAAAAATCAAAAAGTGTAAGAAAAAGCATCAAAATCTAACAACAAAAAAAGATGATTCCTATAAAATTAATAATGAGATAACTACCACAAGTATTCCTTTAACTCTCTTTACAACAACAACTACAACTACTACCACCACCACTAAACCATTAACAACTAGTATCGTAGAAGACTTACTTAAAGACTTTTCCTTTGAAGATACCAATATCGAAGAGAGTCCAACAACAACTTTAAAATCAGACCTAGTTAAAGAACAGATTCAGTCAAAGAAACAAAATTTAAAAATTGATGAAGACTTAGAAGAGTTACTGGATTCACTTAATAACAATGACAAATATAGTGAATCATCAGATGAAGAATATAAAGAAGATGACGAAAAGGAATCAACCTTTGAAGAAGACGATACAGCAGAAATTGAATCAGCAGATGAGTCGCGTCGACATTCACGCGATGACTACGAAAACGATGAAAAGCACCAATTCACTTTGTTGGAACTTATGGGCATGGAATAGACTGAAATTTAGTTCATAAATAAAAATACTCAGTAATACAGCTTTAATTTAAAGTTCCATATGCTTTAAGCAGAGGTACATATATTATGTAAAAGAAAAACCACATACAAATGTACTGGCATTTAAAGCAATCTTATATTCTCATTTGTAAGGTACATATTATTTAAATACATTATTTATATGTTAATGAATTGTAAATATATTAACCTTCAAGATAAGCGTAGCTTAAGATAAATTAAACTTATTTATTCTAAACAAAATCACATAGTTTATAATTATTTTCGTAACTTACCTGCTCCTTCCATTGAATACTTGTAAATTGGTTCTGGTTTAAGTGGCACCAAGGGAGCTAAGGTCTCTGGTGTCATGTCCTTCACTCTTTGATGATATGACAACCTAAAGAAATATTAGTGCTATAGTGAACAAAGAACTTTCCAAGAATGCATTAAAAGGATGCATACCATTACAGCCTATCAAAAAACCACTGTTGAACATGGACCTTCAATAAATTGCCACATAAAGGGATTTGCCATAGTTGCCACGCTATACAGGCGGGTTAGCACCACCCAGCCTCTTACGACACCCACGGGACGATATGGGGTATTTGATATTCTTACACCGCCAGTGCACGGTCAAAATAACTCATGCCTAGAAATATTCACCCATGTTCACCACACCGGCCATGCAAGTTGGTCGGCTGATATACTCACAACAGTAATCTGCTAGAATTTATCACTTTTACCCAGATATTAGTTTCACCTGCACATGGTGAACACCTTACTAATTGAAAAATGAGGCTTTAACAATCATCTGGTGGCTGAAAAACATTTCTATAGAAGCAATAATGAATATTTGGATATGATATATCTAAAGAAAAAGTGGTATATTCTAGCAGAAGTAGCACCCTACTTACATAGCGATTATGTCCAATATTTTCTTAAATTTAAATGCTAGAAACCTCTTTAACAAAAAATATTCAGAAGGATCTTCGAGATAATTAATCAGGACATGAAGGCAACACACATAAGCTACTTTGAGATAACAAAAACAAAGTATGTGAGACAAACAAAATAATTATGAGGTTACTTCAGTTTATATTATTATTTGAAAACACCTTTGTGATGAAATCAGACTCGGAATCGGAAAATTTTTGCATTTCCTGTTTAAAGATAAGCGTAGTAAATATAAAAAAAATGTTTACAAAATCCACAAACCCACCCATCAGGTTGCCACCAGTTATGTACAGACAGCTGGATATAACCTTCTGAAAAATCTAAAATTGTGATCTGAGGAACCTGAGCAGCATAGATTTGGAGAATGTGGTGAGAGGTGGAAGGTAGAATGTTAAGTACAGTCGTTACTTATTCATATTTCCCATCGTAACTACATGAGTGACCTTGTACATTATCTTGGTGGAAAATTATTTTACTATAATTTGAATTGAATTTTATTTTCAGAAATGTAATAAAATAAAAATCTCATTTAGTAAATTTGCGGGCAAACAAATCTATGCTCCAAGTCGTAAGGAAAAAAGGTTCAATGTTTCTTTCTTTCCCTAAAATAAGCTATCATTTGACATAAACATGATAATAAAAAGAGTTTCTTATAAAGTTCACTTAATATTCTCTTATTTCTTATTTCATCATATAAGAGAATTCTCTATAAATAACAGAAACTTATCGGATAAACAAACCTGAGACATTTTCCTAAGACTTCTCTTATAAACCGAGGCTTAGGATGGTCTGGATCAAGTTGAATACATCCTTCCCAATCTTCCCACGACCAACGATATTGAAAGTTGCTTAGATGATATGCAAACCAATTGACAAATCTGTAACAAAAGATTTTTTTTTAAGCTATTGCATAGCTTCTATCGCGGGCCTTGAGCGTGGGGACCGAATCCAGAAATTTATTCCACCGTAACGAAAAAACCTCACGCTCCCCACTCCGACGGGCACGGAGGTGTGGCTTGAAGGCCGTACATCGTCTAACGTCGTTTCAGTTCGGCAGACTTCGGCACTCGGCAGACTTCGGCAAGAGAAAAAAATTTTCTTATCGGTCACCACGCTCAAAAAGTGTAACTTGATTTAATATCAAAGACTTAACTGCATAAATAAAATAAATAAATAATTATAATTGCATAAGTTGATAAAAAATGCTATGCAATAGCTTTACCGCGGCAGTCACCGAGTGTCACACGTATTTTTTTTTAATATTTTATATACTTTATTATTCACATGTATTCATGTTGATATACAAATTAATACCCATTAAAATTATTGTGACACAGGGGAGGTCCGTGAATGGAAGCAAAGAAGTATAAAATAATAATACTTGAACATTTAAACATTTTACAGATCTGACCGATCAACATGTTATAGCTGTTGAAAAAAATATTTGTAACACAACGTTTTTACACTTTACCCTTTATTTAAATAATCTTTCTTAAGAGGAGTATTACAAAAAAACGCGACATTACAAAGTTTCTTCGTTAAAATTTTTTGTTTTCCGTTTGTTGCTTGAAATAATAATTACTTGGTAAATATATTTCATTTTCTCTACGCTCAAGGCAAATTTTAGATAACTTATTTATTTATTTAATAATAATCATAGTTCCGGTGCATGTTTAGGCGAAAATTTTGAGAGACATGATTTGGGAGCCCTAATTTGTAGATTCTATTGGATATCGACCATCAAAAAATATTTCACAAATGTCCCATACTTTAATAATCATAAAATACATTTTCATTATATGCCTTGTACTTAAGGAAAAAAAATCGACATAATTATCTATCGAAAAAGCTTCGATACAAGCCCCAATATCTCCGAAGTTCTACATTATTTTGACGTAAAATTTATAGTAAAATAATCATCAACATATGCTCAAACTATACTATGATTTTTACTTTTTAAATCGTTACTATTATTTTTTTAATTATATAATAAAAGTACCATATATTTCACTGCGTCGGCCATCTGAATTCAGTACCGCGTCAGCAATTGTCGACGTTAAACCTGTGTCAATCTATTTCACGTGCTCCGTCTCGTTGCGATATTATGGTAGTGTGCGTCGCTAGCGTTGCCAGACGTCTGGATAAAGCCGGACACAGTCAGGCTTTTTAGTTGCGTGTCCAGCCAAATTAGACAGTGTTCAGCTTTCGTTAGGGTTTTTAAATTGTACCATTTCTTTACATTTCTTTACATATACTTACATACATGCAATTATTGAAACTAATATTGTAATGAATATTGAATAATTAATGATAAAGACTGATTTATTAAATTGTTATTTCGTTAGAACTTAAGAAGATTTTACGGTAAATGATAAAAAGAATTGTTTTACTTTAAAAAAAAATGTCTTACTAAGACAAAAAATAAGTGCGTCGGCCTTTTTACCAAAATGTCCGGCTAAGCTCGCTGGTCTGTCCAGTTTTTCGGTTTTAAGACCTGGCAATCCTAACCGTGGTGCTGCTTTTTTGTGATAGAGCATCGTAAACTACCCTCGCAATTTTTAATTGTTGGAATATATTTCAATTAGTATAAAGTTCGTACATTATTATTATACCAGATAGTTAACTCATTATAGTTATGTTGATTGTAGCTGAGCTTTCTTACCAGTCTTAATAGAGAAAAATAAATACAAGTATCAATGTATCACTTAACCAATGTCCAGTAGTACTTTGTTGGTGACATTACCATTGATAATGAACAATGTTATTAAAAAAATAACAATTAACCCACATCGTAAGCAAAATGGTATATTTTTGATTACACAACATATTTTAAAATTCAGGAATTACTAACCTGTCAAAACAAGCCACATTCATTGTGTCAATTCTCATAAAAAGAATTTCCGTAGCTTGAGCTAGTACTTGGGGCATAGTAGAAGGCTGAAGCTTACAAAGTTCAATAAGAATCGAACCATAGCAAATCTCCAAATATCTTGGTACAGGCAGATTAAATAACTCTGCAAAAATCACCTCAACAATACAGTATTCAAGTGGAATTTTAGCTTTATATGGAAAGCACAGAAGTTGGGCAGCACATTCCTTGCGTTCCAAGTGATATGCTTCTAAAATATTGTGAAGATGTTCTTCAATTAGAAATCTCTCAATAGAATGTGCTCCTGGTAAAACTGGACCATCTGGGCAGTCTGTGTAGTCAAACATACGAAATATAACTCTTGGCATGGGGTAAGTATCCCCATCATTGTGTGGTGGAGGCTGTAATAAAAAAATATTAAATTAGGTTTTAAATATTGAAATATTTGTTTATAAAAGAATGTTGAAAATTAAGAGTTTTTTAATTATTTTTTAATTTCCTTACTTTTCCTTAATTTGTTTTAATTTCCTTACTTCTTAATTTAGATGAAAATTAAGAAGTAAGGAAAATTTTAGCAAATATGTTTCGAAGTGTTGTGGCTAAAGAGAAATTATCACTGCATTTTGTATAAAAGTATCGTAATATTTGGCCACAGAGCTGATATCATCATGGAAAACAATCTCATAGTTTTAAATGATGATGAAATAGTATCCAAAAAGCCTGTTAGTTGAGAGATTGACACAAATATTTTTATGGTACATCTATAACAGCCTATAACAGAGTACTGTTGGTTTATTCCAGCTACTTCCAGTGTTGTCCTACGAATACTTAACATATGTTTATACTACAGAATATACCACCCGGCAATCTTTTTAATGTTTTATAACTATTATAAGTCAGTGCTTGATTTTATTATCCCAATTGATGATAAGCGATGATGCAGCCAACAATGGTAAAGTACACTAACTTAATAGTATAGCCTTAGATTTTTAAAAAATGCTCCCAAATAACAAAACAAATCATGTCATTCTAATGCATTCTATATCAATAATGAAAGGGTGGAGATCAGCTGAGCATCTAGTGAACCAATAATAAAATGGAGAGGTAAAAATTTAATCATGCAATTTCTGCAGCACACACTACAAAATGTATCCTGTAAAACACCAAAAGGCTGGAAAACACCAAAAGGCTGGCTACTTTGCGCCTGTGATAAGATTGTTTCAAACCATATTGATGTCACCAATAAGCCTCTTAGCACCATTTCATTGAGCCCAAAGTAATATTTAAATAGCAACAGCACATATATAACAGAAATGCTGCATGCACAGCTGGACTTGCGCTTAATATAATGTAAGGAACAATCCCGCCGTGAAATTTTGCAACACCTTTGCAAGAATACCAACTCAAGGTGGTCATTAAATTCCAATAATCAAATTCGGAAAGAATGAGAGAGATTGATATGCTCAACCATTCTCCTTCAGACTAGATTTGATTCCAACTGGTCCTAGCACTCAGCTGATATCTCCCCACAACTTTGCTGTACATCATTGTACCCAAAGATACCAGGCATAAGCAGGTCATGATATGCAGCAGGAACAGATTTGAGAAAAAAAAATGGTACTCCAAAATTATTGTCAGAGGCTAAAAAGAGCAGCCTTTGACAACTCTGAGTCTAATTCTCCAAGACTATTTGCTGAACAGACCAGAAAATATGCTGTACGCTGAATTCTTGCCTAAAAGGCCAACATGATAAACCCTGTAAAAGGCTTTCAAGATATCAAGGGAAACAGCAATTGCTTGCCAATTCTTATTTAAGACATTGACCCATATGTGTGCGGCGTATGCTGGAAGGTCCTATGTGTGATAATGGCAGAACTAATTCTGTTGGTTGCTGAGGTTGTTCTGCTTTAGGTATGACATAACATGGACATTCAAATATATGCTTCATAATTTTGCTGAGGTAACTGATATTGGCCAAAAATGCATAGGGTCAGTACAGCACACTTTTTCCTTGAAAAGTCTGCACATAGGCAAGCTTTCAGGATATGAACACTATTCCATTCTAACACAAATCTGTAGTTACAAACACAAATTTGTAGTTATCTTAATTATGTGGACTATACCCATCTTTCTCATATTGATTGATAACCAGATTGTAGTTGTTTGCAGACTCTAAATTATACCTGCATTCTTCATATTCTTCTTTATCAGCCTATAAGTAAAGAGTATATAAATCACTTGTGCATAAAAGCAAACAGTTGGACATGAGGCCTGTCCCATTGTAGAAGGAATTTGCTTAGTCTTAATTGTCATGCTTGGCAGGCTTCTCACTACATGTCTACACATGCTACAAGTCTCGCACTTGTGTGTGTGTGTGTTTGTGTGTGTGTGTGTGTGTGTGTGTGTGTGTGTGTGTGTGTGTGTGTGTGTGTGTGTGTGTGTGTGCGCGTGCGCGTGTGCGCGTGCATGTGTGTGTGGTTTCAGAGGTCAATGGTTTCCCTATAAAAATATTTATACATTTCACAATTGTTGGAAAAAGTGTAATATGCATGTTCATTTAATCCGATACTTCATGATATACATTAACAATGCTAAAATGGCTTCAACTAAGAAATAAGTTAATAAATAGTAATTGAAAAAAACTATTTGAAATACTTTGATTATATACATGTCTAGATAGAGTATTGGGCTACAATCGTAACAAAAACAACGGATCCGATTTGTGTGGTTATTACACACACAAGTAACTACTATTGATTAACGAGTGTGCTGCGTCACTCGGGGGCTAGCTGAGTGATACCAGCTCTTGAATATTTCCAATTAGATTAAGTACTCATTTGACATTTTAATTTTTTTATATATACTTATTTTGATTTATCTGGTTACAAAATAACGTTTCACATGATAAATGTACTTTTAATAATTTTATTTAATTTGATATATTGTTAATTTCACATGTCAGATATGGTAAACATGTGGACTATGTACAACTTTTTGTCATCTTTAATGTACCATGTTTATTGGTATTTATATAGTTAGTTTTGGTATTTATGTAGTTTTAGTTATACATACATATAAATAAAATAGAATACATTAATAAATAAAATCCAACCAGATGACCTCACCAGGAGAGAACAAAGGGCGGAGGCTTTGATTATATACTTGTTTTATGAGATGAAAGTTAAACAAAATAAGTTTAATAAAGTAATTATTATGTAGATTAGTTTTATTTATTTTATCTAAATATATAAAAAATTTTGAAAGAACTAACAAAAATACTATTTATTGCATGACGTTATGGGTTTCATTTATTTTGTGTAGGTAGGTAAGTACGTAACATTTACTGATCAAATAACTAAAGTAATTTTTAAAATAATAATGTTCTCCTGATTGAAAGATGATGTAATAATATTTGTATTTTGTCTCCCATAGTTTCGTCAAAACTCCCTAGTAATAAATTGACAACACTGACTGATCAGACTAACCTACAAAGTAACGAATTAAAGCATCGTGTTTTAATAAAACAATGGTGGTTAAATAACAAAACTTATTGATGAAAAGTGCTCTTGGTGTTATTATACGGTTTTCTCACATAATTGCGACAATTTAACAGCACAAACAAGGATTAATTAATTATTTTCCATGAGCATGTTATCCCTAAGTGATTCAAATAACACTGACGTAGGTGAGAAGAGAGTCTACCAATTTTAGTAAACTTTATTTGGGCCGTTCTGTACGGACTATGTGGCATCTAGACATGTATATAATCAAAGTTGAAATATTAGAATATTTATAAGCTGGAAATCAGTTGTCACCTGTATACTTGGAAGAGTATGTTGTAAAGCCTCACAAAGAATAGAATCAAAAGCAAGATAAGGTCTCGGAATATGCTTTTCCGACCAGTTGTCTTGTCTCAACTTTTTAATTTGTGCCCACAGACAATCCAAATATTCTTCTTGAAGGTGAGGTGAGTCTGCTGACCACACTTTTAATGCTGGCCAGTGCTTTTTACTTCTTTTATTTAGAAACACTTCTATTGTTACTAGTAAATGATCGAGTTGAGATTCTTTCTTCTCATATAATTCTCTCCCAACCCATGGCAAAGTTGAGAGAACAGCGAATACGAACCAATCTCTTCTAACTTGTGGTACTCCATCTTCATTAGCGCAGTCAACCAAAGTTTCTAAGAGTGTCAATAAAGATGATGCAGCCAATACGTGGCAATTGACTAAATCTGAAATAAAACGTAGACAATACCTAGCCGCATTCCATTTTCCTGTCTTTAAATTTTCTTTAAATGTCTTTACAATATAATCCACGAATTCTCCACCAAAATTATAATTTTTCGCATTGAGTAGACCAACCAACGTAGCATAAATAGTACATTTCTCAGGCATACGTATGGCACATTCAGTAAGGATACGCAAGATCTTTACACGGAAAGTGCTTAAATCTGCTTCTAAAACGCTAGCTAAGCCTTCAAGATTACTCTCCAAACTGGAACTACTTTTTTCGCCAACTCTTAATATAAGGGATTCTAATCTGTCTTCAATTTCCTGATTTTCTGATACACGACGTCTTTTACGATGAACCCGATCTAAAAAAAATAAAGGCCATTAATTATTTTATGTGTAAATAGTTATAACCTACAAAAAAGTTTTATAGTTTACCATATCCATCTTCTTCCTCATGTCCTCTTCTTCTATTCATAGTTTGAGAAAAAATCACAATAGGTTATAAATTAATACAATATAATATTATTCCGGGAACAAATCAATTGATAATGATAATTTTAAAATCAAATTGATAATTTGTCAACGAAACAAAAATATCCAAAATATGGCAAAGACTAAATTTTTTTATTAAGATTTTTGGCTTCGATGCTTGTTCTTTAAGCCATATCTTCATTTCATTCCAGATCTTCATTTTAATAGATTTTCTATTGCGGATTCAATGTATTAAATAGGCAGAAAATATTTCATATCTTCGAAATCACAGTCAAGCGGTGGGGTCATTATTTATGATGGGTTCACTTTCACTGTCACACAATTCACTATAATATACATATACATAGCTAATAAAAGCCGTTGAAAGTTAAATTGGCCGCATTCAAACAACAGGTCCAACTTGATTACAAAGTGGGCAATATTTTGAGGACAATATGTTGAGTCGAGCAAGGTGCGCAGGAGTTTTATGGTGGCCCAACCGCAGTCAAATTGTAGTCGTAATATAGTCACTACTTGATTCTTTCATCTGAGCGTACCACTGCTTTACAGGTATTTTGTCCTGGATACTTCCATACAACTTGCCTTTGTTTTCTTGGTCTTTCTTCAATATATCTTTCCATAATAAACGGATATACTTTATTATTTCAGTATAATAGTGAGTAAAAGGTAAAGATAAAATATAGCTTACATGAAGTTGATTTATTCCTCCATATGCAGTATCATCGGCGATTTAATTTCCAATAGTACCTTTAGCCTTTAGGTGATGAAATTCACATACACGCGACTTCAAAAGTCTTTGTTGACAAAATATGTCATTTAATCATTAGATATTCACATCTTCAAGCATCAATCAATTTCAATTCACGAACATTAACTCCTGTAAGTAGTTCAGTTAATGACGTTTCTCTTATTACACCCGGTCATTTTTTGATTGGCGAAGCACCTATCACCTTGCACCAGAGGAAAATCTTGTAAATGTTAAATTATCTTATCTAAATCAATGGCAACTACTTCAGCGAATGTTACAAATGGTCAAATCAAAATGAGGAACCCGAAATTGATACTGTCGTTTTAGTTAAGGATGAAAGGTTTCCTCCAAGAAAGTGGCTACAGTGGCGGCCTTAGGGCGGTGCTACCGTACCGGGCGCCATCTTCGGGGGGGGGGGGCTGAAATCAACAGAAACGCTACCACCGGGCACCGGTCCCCAATTCACTCACCTTTATCACTAACATTCCGCTTTGTTGACGCTAATTAGGAAGTCAAAGCATGAGTATTTTGTTGCTTACAAGCCAGTAAGTGACTCTTCGGAAAAAGGACTTGCTGGCCTCTTTCTTGATGCAATTGTACAAGTGTTTAACTTAGATACGAATGATTGACGAGGTCAAGGGTATACAATAATGGTGCGAACATGGCTGGAAAATTAAGGGTGTTCAAACCAGAATTTGACTCAATATTCTCGGGCATTTTTCAATCCATGTGTGTGATTAGGTCAAAAATGGGCGTCAATGAAGGCTTTGAAATTTATGGGAAATGCCCCAAATTCAAACTTAGTATGAATAACTTAATTCATCTCCACCTTTCAGGCAGAAATTTTCAGAAGCACATGGCCATCTTGGGACTAAGCAACTCAAGGATGTGCCGGTTTTGTTCCTTAGCGGAAGAAACGCCTCTGCTAAGGAACAAAACCGGCACATCGTCAGTGATTAAAAGTGCATTGGTTACTTGACTTAACTATCAAAATTTTATGATACGTGTTCATTTTTATACAAAATAAAAATAATTCCTGAAAGGTCAAAAAGCCTGTGTTGATTTGCAAATCAGTTGAACAAATTGGTATAATGTAATTTGTCTAGTTGTAAATTGATTCAGGAACTTATGAGCTTGAACCCATTATTTAAAGATCTTCAATTAGCAGAGCCACATAAAGTTCTCAGACTTGTTAAAAATAATGATTGGCAGGATATTTTTCCCAAATGTGTAGACAGCACTTCATATTTTGCCGACTATACCTGTACTGTAAGTGACGCTAAGCGGAAACGAAGTTTTAGTACATTAAACATTTAAAAATTTACCTACCTTTCTACTATGTATCAGGAAAGACTGTCATATCTTGGAATCATTTCTTTAGAAAGTTCTATTATTCAGAGGTTAAATTATTCCAAATAAATAAAAAATTTCAAGCGCATAAGCAAGAAAGCTGGCCATCGAGGCTTTTAATTAAATAAGTTGTTGGTAGTTCTTATATCTTTTTTAACACTGTCTTCAGAACAACAATTTAAATAAAAGTTGTCAAACAAGATTATTAACTCTTATTATGAGAAATAATCTCTACAACTAGTCACCACAGTAAGGCAAGCATAGTGGCATTGACCAGCGCAACAAAGTAGTGCGGGCGGAATGGACAACATTTCTTTAACGTGAATAAGCAGCACAACTGCTATGGCAAGAGCGACAGACACAGCTGTGCTTGCCCCGCATATACATCTGTAGATATTTGATAGATCTAATACTATTTAAAATCGAGAAAAAGCAACTGCATAGAATAGGAACACTAAGGTTTTATATTAAGAGGGGCGCCACTATAAGATCTCGTACCACCTAAAAATTTTGCTAGAGCCGCCACTGAGTGGCCATTAGGTCATATTTTAGATAAGTATCTAGGAAATGATCGCAACGCTAGAATTGTTACATTGCAATTAAAAAAAGTATTTTTAAATGATCTATCACAAAAATCTGTCTAGGTACATTCCACAGATTTAAATTAATCTTCGCATGCTAAAATTGAGTATTTACCTTGTCGTCACTTTTTAAAGACTATTAGTCCTTGGGCACCGGAATGTTTTGACGATTAAATTTAGTTTCTATGACTAACAGCAGTTGGCGCCTCAAGTGGAAAGAATTTTGATTTGAATTTAGGTATATGATAAATATGGAAAAAAGCAATGTCACGTCTTAACAAATAAAATATGATAAAAAACTTTATGTGCAGTGTTTGCAAATTCAAATAAGTAGTGGTGTAAGCATGTGGATTATAAGAGAAAATGACGAAACATGTGTAACAGGACAGTGACAGTGGTAGAGCCACGCGGCAGCCTTTGCTGTTATACGCATGGGCCGGCTCAAACCGGGGTGGTACCACGACCTCACAGACGACCAGCGTGAAGTAGAGGCTTTGCTTCTGCGTTTCGTCTGGTGAGTGCAGGTGGCCCGATGCCTAATCCCTCCCCCCCCCCCATCATCATGGTAGCGGAATTAAATGCAAAACTACACCAGGAGGGTACCAGCACCCCTGGAGAATCCCTCGCTGAGCATCTACGACCAAGCTACTGCACTCCTGAGCATGGGTGCTCAGGCTGCTCCCCGTATTCTGTGGGGGGGGGGGGGGGCAAAATTCCGCTCGAGACTGAACCTGCTCGGGGCAAACGGAGCAATAAATCAAAGGTGCTCACTGCCACGCTATCCGTGAGTTTTACAACATCAGGGGACTTCATTCAAACCTTAACGCCGTCCACTACCATTTGGAAACGGCGAAGCCGGCCTTGCTCTTTCTAACCGAGGCACAGGCGTCGTCTCTAGCTGATGCTTCGTATCTCTCCTGCCTGGGGTACGAATTAGAACACTCTTTTGTGCCTCTCTGTATATCAGAGAGGGAATCTGTTTTCGACGCCTCGGCAGCCTTGAAAGAACGGACCTGTCCATCTTATGGCTGCGCGTAGACAGCAACGACCATCCCCGCGTCTACGGTGCCTCTATAGGTCCAATAGCGGTAATGCCGAAACAGACAGACTCATCGACCACGTCCAGATGGCTACAGACTCCGTGCTACAACAAATCCCATCCACAGAGATCGTGATACTTGGGAGATTTTAACGCCCACCACGCTGAATGGCTTGGTTCTCATTTAACCGATCATGCGGGTTTGATGATCTGTTTATGACTTTGCTTTGGCATATGGTCTGACACAACTGGTTATTGCGCCTACGCAGATCTCAGATGTGGAAGATCACGCACCTTCCTTGTTGGACCTTCTGCTGACCTCTCAGCCAGATGGATATCAGGTCTCCGTCGATGCCCCACACAGAATTGGCAAGAAACTAGTTAATCTTCCTTCGGGAACACGTGCATTATGGTCTCTCGCCAAGGCTATCGAAGGGAACTTCTGCCAGCCATCTCTCCCATCTCTGCACAGGGAGGACGACTCACTGGCCCATGCCGCAAAGGACAAAGCCGATCTACTGGGCTCTCTCTTTGCGTCCAACCAGACTCTTGAATGCGGGGAGAACATAGCGCTGACGATCCCGCAGTGCGAGTGCTCCATACAGGATGTGCTATTTACCCAACGCTCGGTGCGCAGAGCACTTCTCTCCCTGGACGTCAACAAGTCGAGTGGGCCTACTGGCGTCCCTCCTATTGTGCTGAAGACGTTTGCTCCGGAGTTGGCACCGGTTTTAACGCATCTTTTCCGGTACTATTACTCCCTAGGCGTAGTCCTGAAATCATGGTAGACAGCCTCATGCACCCGATCCCTAAAAAGAGTAACCACTCTGATCCGTCCAACTATAGACCTATCGCCATCACCTTGTTTTTTAAAATCCATTATTAACAGTCAGCTCATATGGTACCTTGAAGATCACCAGCTGATTAGTGACCACCAGTACGGTTTCCGCCGCAGTCGCTCGGCTAGTCATCTGGGTTACCTAACTCATAAATGGGCGATGGCAGTAGAGTCCAAGGGGAAAGAAATTGTGCAATTGGATCACCAGCTTTCTTGCTGATCGGAGCATCAAGTATAGTACTGGTGATACTTTATACACCAGCCGTGCAAATATTTCTCGGGAAAACGTCGCCGAGTACCGGGACAAACTTGTGTGTGAAGTCGAAACTTTGTTGAACAAAACAAGTTTGCGCGTTTACCGTTAAAAAGAACCCTTTCATCGTATCTACTCTGCTTAAAGCCACTTCCTTTGTTGCCTTAGCCAGTA